GAATCTGTGGAGTTCAAGAACATGCATGCACTGTTAAAAACAGGGAGGGCAAAATCATATGGTCTAAAATCACGACGAAGCACAAGAAGAAAGAAATTCAAGATGCTGTGGCCCATACCTTCTTGAGAGCTTTGATCAAAACTATCTAAAAAAAAATCATTATCTTTGTAATTCATGGAAAAGCATCAAGTTTGCAATAATGAGCTCAATAACTTTGCAATGGGGTGAAAAAAGTGCATTGGCAATGCGAGGGCCACTAATGAATTCACACCTCAAAACTTTAGCATGGATTTGCATAATGGCTCTTATGCTTTCCATACCTCTGTTGCACCAATCAAATGTGTAAACACTAATAAGAGTAGAACACGAAAAATGAAAAGCATGGGCCTCAATCTTCCCTCAAGCATTGTGACCCATTATCAAAGAAACCTGGGAAAATATGGCCATGAATTTTGAAGTGGATCAAGATTCCTACATTTAGCCCATAGTTTCTTTCAACTCATAATTCATGAGTTGAGATTGGAATCTTCAACTCAAAACAAAACAATGGCTTAGCCTTTCTTTTACCATTAAGGACAACATTATCAACTTCAAAGTGGACATTACTTATGTCAAGGCTATTGTTAAGAACCCAAGTTGGAAACACCTTTAGTTCCTTGGTATGCACCTCCTGTGGCCCATAAAATTCAGAAAATAGATTAACAGAAACAATTCCCTTACTAGTATTGTCATCAACATCACTTTCCTCTATAGGTTGTCACATAGAGAGTAGAGCCACACCCTCCTATTTGGAAGACTTGGGTGGAATCTCCTCACTCAGTGACAACAAAGATGGTGCATGTCTAACCATCAATACTTTGCTTTGATCAGGAACGACTAACTTTACTTTCACATCCAATTCTAAATCCCCTTTGATTACAGTTATGGGGTTTCTCTTCCTTGTCTATTAGGAGTGATCCACTTGCCAATTCAACATCGTTTCCTCCACTTGCCAATTCAATATCGTTTCCAACAGAATAATGTTAAAAATTAACATTTCCTTTTGATTGATACAATGCTGAATTTCTTTATTATCAGGTTTAGAATCCTCCATACTTCATGAATAAAAATGTTAATCATATCCCCAATTATCTCTTCTTTTAAGCAAATTGATCTACAAATATATCTACCCTTTTCTCATCAAATTTAAGGGTTTTTGTATCTTTCAATGCATTGAGCTCTCCATTGATAAATTTAGGATTTTCTTTTATCCAGAAATTGCATGCCTTTGTTTGTTTAGTTCTATGATGTTCAGGTTGCAGTTTTATGTTAGGGATAGAAACTCCTTAGGTTGGAGGTGTTAGTCTTCTAGCCTAGAATGATCCTGCTCCAGGGGTGGATGTGGATGTGGTAAAATCCTTTCTTTGCTCATCTCTACACTGATTTCTATCTGCTCCCCTACGCCAGTCACATCAGCTTTGGGTTGTTGGTTACCCAACTGTTCTCTGCATTCCTGCGCCTGTCGATGCTCTTGTGCATCGAACCCATAAGTGCGATCAAACATAACATTAAGTTGTTCCCACTCAGACTTACGCTTTACTGATCTCCACAAGAACTCGCACAATATGGATCTAGCACCGTAGATCTCATCTTGTTCAATATGTGCTGTTGCAAACTTTCGTTTTGCAACAACTTTTCAACCATCTCAGTCAAGTTGTTGATTTTTTTGTATATTTGGTCCTACTTGGCATTCCTACAGTTGCGACCTCTAGGACTAATCATCGTAGTTGCTAAATTTTGAACCGTGCTCTGATACCAAATGATGCGAAAGGAGGCTGGGAATTGAATCCAATCTTCTTTCGATCTTAAACAAGCAAAAACTTGACAATAATGAAGGAAATAAGTGGTTGTAAGTTGAGCCAAGATGAGAAGAGCGTCTTTCTTTGTTTAGAAAAATAAACTCTCTACAAAAAAATTTCCAAGTCCCTAACATAAGCCTATCTCTTCAATATATGCTCCATAAACACTCTCTTTATCTTTGACTTTCGTGTCCCATAAAGCCATAAGTCATACAAATCTTTTTAGTCAACAAATCCCACTAACTCTCATCCCAAGAATGCTTTCCCCTCTAAGTCAATAAATCCTATTAACTCCGATCCCAAAAATGCTTTCCCTTAAGTCAACAAATCTCACTAATTGCCATCCCAAAAATGCTTTCCCCTCTAAGTAAAAAAATCCTATAACTTCCCAAGAATGATTCAAATTATCCCAAGTCACACAAATCCCTTCGCTGTCTAAGTGAACAAATCCCATAACTCTCATCCCAAGAATAATTAAAATCTATCCCAAGTCACACAAATCCCTTTTTGGCTCTAAGTCAACAAATCCCATTACTCCCATCCCAAGAATGATGTAGATCTTCTTTCCCTTCACTTTAACCACTTTTACCCCCTTTCCTTAGCTACATCATCTCCACTTATGGAAATGGCTATCCTATCTCCTATTCATTATATAACTTCCCCTTTAGTCCCCTCATGCCTTAATACAAAAATTAGCCAACCAAACCTACAAATTACAACCATAACCCTAATAGTAAAATAAAGTTTGAAATAAATTAGTTTTCTTAATTCAATTTGCATCAATGATCCACTGTCTCTAGCAAGCTCTCATATTTGGCTCATCAAGTCAACCCAATAGGTGGTTGGGTTAAGGAATTGTACTGGACTTCATATTCATCCCCAATGATTTGCACTTTTGTGAAAGAGTGGCTTTCCATTTGTGACTGTATATGCACATCTTGTGTGATGACTTGAGGTCAAGGATTTAGCCCATGTCCTCTCAGATAGTTTTCTCACACAGGGCACATAACAATACTCGAGCTCATAATGGTCCATAACACACACATAATTCTCTATAATAGTTGGAAATTGTCATATATGCTTAGAAATATGCCCTAGCTATCACACAATTATGAGGTATTCTCAATCACTTTGACTGGGGATAACCCTCAATCCTTTCGGCTTATTGTCCCTTATAAGCATTCCTTGTGTTCTGGGTTTTTTGTGACTCTATGGACACCAATTCTGGATTCCAGCTCACAATGATCCAGCAAGTCAGGATTTTCTTGTCCACTCCCGCTGTGATCAAGAACCTTAAGAAAATAGTGGTGTCGAGGCCTTGAAAGGCTACAGCTGCAGCCAATCTAAAAAGTGAGAGTGGCTTAGTATTGGTCATCCATCCTTGGTTAGCCGTAATGAATCTGAGGGTGACACTATTATCCTTAAATTTGGATAGACCTCATCACTCTATTGAAATCCTTGTAGATCTCCCACTCTAATTAGATATCTACTAGATCACTGAATCTATCTTGAACTCAAAATCTTTTCAAAAGATTTCCAAAATCTTTTCAAAATAAATCGTAATTACTTTTGATTTCATCTTCTAGTCACCTTTTAGGAAATCATGAAAATAATGGAAATCAAGGGAATCTTGGAACTAAAACCGTCTAGAAACTCTCCTATGGAGCACACAACACCAAGGGCACATTTTATCAAGATTTTGAGCTATGTGTCTCCCCATGATTAGTGGAGTCCACACAAGACTCTATACCCTCTGACATGAGCCTCAAGATTCTCTCAAACAGCTCATACTAATAGCCTTGCATGATTTAAAAAATCCCCATGGATGGTTTTCTCGATAAACAAAAAAAGTCTAATTCTAGAATGCTCCTTGATCAAAATAAATTTTTTTTTCATAAATTCCCTTAAAAAAATAATTTCAAAATACCAAAAATAAGGTGATTAGAGAAAATTAAAGATACTTTATTTTCCTTGAAAACTCGTAAAAAGGCTTTTGGAAAGAACCTTAAAGGGAGTGTATAGTGTGCTAGCAACGCGATCAACTCCTAATCACGTGCTCCATATCCATCCTATAATTACAACCTAAACCTCAAACCAACTCAATAGGCCTATGACCCAGATGTCTCCCATGCAAGGGTCTCATGATTGGCCTATCAAAACTAGCTAAGACTTGAGAGAAACCGTTGTGTAGATGTGCGCCCTCCAAGGAGAAGTCTGGTCCAAAGTGGACATTGTGTCTAGAGTCTCTAGACACACACTCTTCTAGTGTTCAGGGTACTCTCCAGTACATGCATATTACCGATCCACCATTGGACCAAAGAAAGCACAGGCAGCAGTGCATATGCTGTGCAGGATGCAGTGTCGAGGCTTCTCGTCCTTGTCCTCACAAGCCACCATCCTGTCACATAGGATTTTCTAGGTTCGCTCTTGGCTAACAATCCGCCACTGTGCTGATCTGAACCTCAACTGGGGCAACTTGTAAGCCCACCACGGTAATGCATCCAGGGATTATTGCTACCTTGTATCCAGCCCAAGGTGCAGGTTCCACTCTTATACGTGGGCATACACTAGCTATTAATCAATAATCAACTGCTAAGGGCTTTAATAGCCACAAATCCCAACACTAATACACATGACAACACAAGACAATTGACAATCTACTAGGGAAGTTTGGAATCATGGAAACCAACATGGATATGGTCTTCTCGATATGAAATAACTTATGAAGCTGAGAAGAGTATTTCTCGTGAATTTATTTGTGGGAATGATGTGTGGTTGTTTGAACCATGATTCTTGTTTGTAGTTTTATGGTAGATGCAATCCCTTTTGGCTTTTGATATAATTTATGATGAGATGCAGTCTGTGATTATTAGTGAGTCTAACTTTTGCATTATGTTTGAATTCGTTCCACATGAAGAGTGATGGCTTTCGCTAAGGGGTTTTATGAATTTAAAATCACGTATTTAATCAAATGCATCACCCTGTGTATTGTAATTATTATACTTAATACAAAGTTCCAATTCCTTAAAAATAAATAAAATGTAGTGTATCCATATTAAACTCTTCTTGTCATAAAGTCGATCTACTTATTACATGAACTTTTATTTTGCTTTTAATTTTGATATCAATTCATTTGAAAATGCATTTTCCTTATTAAACTAGGGAATCGACAGGGTTAGGGTTGAGCAAATGGAGGCTCGTTTGAAAGAAGATATAATACAAGAAGCTGCACGGTACTCATGTCTCATGACAATATATCTTCCTATTATTGTCTTAACGCATTAAGGGATATTTATCATCTTCATCCTTTATAATAGCCAATTCAATTCATACTCCTTTTTAGCAGATATGGAAATAAGATCCTTGTAACTGATGAACTGCTGGACGGCCAGATGGTGGACCAGTGGGAGCCAGTTGCCCAAGATTCGGTTAAGACGCCTTTGGAGGTGTACTTTTTTATGCTCATTTCTACTTTGAGAGGTGCTTCATTATCACTGAATTTACATTCACCTTCGTTGATTTTGTGACCCATGATTCTTTTGCATTATAGGTTTACGAAGAGCTACAGGTGGAAGGTTACCATGTTGATTTTGGGCGTGTTCCTATCACAGATGAAAAATCTCCCAAAGAGCGAGATTTTGATATTTTGGTTGGTTTCCCTAGTCTTCCAAGTCTTTGGTTTGACCAATTTTCTCTCTTTTGGTGTCACATTATCATCATTTTTATGATGACAATTATTGACAAAAGGTTTTGTGTATTATTCTTATGTTTAATGTCATAACGATGTTTTTTGTGGAAATATGTTTGGGTGTTGGACCACAATGCACACCTTTAGTGGGTTGTCTCATTTATAATGGAAATCTCAGTGCCTTTTTGTATTTTTTTTTAATTACTATTCATAGCTAAATAAATTCTTTTTTCCCTATTATTTTTTTTGATGATAATTTTTTTGTAGGTGTATAAAATTTCTCAATCAGATTTAAATACAGAAATAATTTTTAATTGTCAAATGGGGCGTGGTCGGACCACTACAGGAATGGTGATTGCGACCCTGGTCTACCTTAATCGTATTGGGTCATCGGGTAACCTCGTTTATCTTTTTCCATGAGCAACTTACCTTATATTGACAAATTTTTTGCCTCCAAGTTGGTTTTATTTAGATGTTTCTTATCGCTCTTTATTGTGAGTAGTCATGATATCCATCGATCGATTAGATGACCTTCTTATTCACGTGAGAGTAACTGCATACAAGCTTGATATGCCTTTAGTACAAAAGATTCATACCCTATGCATTAAATACAAATCAAGTTCCCTCCTTATATATTTTAGTAGTTATCTTGTAAGTAGACATAAGTATATGCTGATATTTGTATGTATTTGAATACACTAATATCTGTTGTATTTGTACTTCACTCCGGGTAATTGTATATCATTCTTTATGCACTATTGTTTGTTAGCTTAAGTGGCATTTTAGTTATGTTCTACAATTTGTGTACACATGGGTTTTATCTTTAAGTTACAAAAGGGATAAGGAGAATTGATTAGTTTCTCAAATTTAACACGACATATGAAAATCTTAACCTGTCCCATTAAAGGGCTACCTATACGTTTGCATGGCTAAATTTAACAAATTCAAGTATGGTATCAGTGCTCCCAGCACCATAAGCCTGGCTCACCCGCAGAGGGGATTGGATGTGCATTTAATTGAACTAGTTACTAACCTTAGGGATTTCTTCCTTGACTCAATATTACATGTCTAAACCTGTCAGAACTGGGGATATCTTAATGTTAGGGTTATGCAAAACCAGATTTGTCCTTCTACATAATTATATGTCTGGACCTTGATATGGTTTGTAACCTTTCGCTTCTAATTTGTACAAACCCTATTGACCTTCTGAATTCCATGGTCATTAGGGCTGATTTGGGCGACAACATTTTTTTTGAAGTGTTTCTGGTTAACCGATCATTATCTTCATTGTAGAAAATTTGAATATGGAATATGGCTCTCTCCTGATTTGCACTATTGAGAGATGCTATTAGCGTATCTTTCAGTTTTAGTAATGCGTTGCTTGTTTTAAGCTTTGGAGAAACATAATGTGTGTTCATACTCTACTTTATTATGTTGATTCAATTTCATAGGCTAGCCTACAGAAATTTCAACTTAGGTGATATTTTCTTCTAGTTGTTATTAGCAGTCGCCTCGTCATGTGCCTAATTGTTTATGGAAAACAGCTATTCCTAGGACAAATTCTATTGGAAAAGTTTTGGATGCCAAAGCTGACGTGAGTGATGAAATGCCCAATTCTGAGGAAGCGATGCGTAGAGGTGAATATACCGTCATAAGAAGCTTGATTCGAGTCTTAGAGGTGATCTATCATTTTCATTCTATTTCTTGTTCTAAGTTATGTTGATTCTAGATCAGAGATGTAACTCAACAATGTTATTTTTCCAGGGAGGAGTTGAGGGCAAAAGACAAGTGGATAAGGTCATTGACAAATGTTCCACCATGCAGGTCTGATGACCTGCCTATATCATTTATACGAACATCATCCTGAGTTATGCGTTCTGCATAAATTTGTACCCAAACTTCTCTTTGTTTTTACTTAAGCTTAATTCAATCTTTCAGCTTTGCGAAATAATTAAGTATATGCAGGAGTGGGCATGCAATTTGTTAATTTTTTTATTTTTGACTTTTGGACAGAACTTACGAGAAGCTATCGCTACTTACCGGAATAATATCCTGCGTCAAGCTGATGAGATGAAGAGGGAGGCATCACTTTCTTTTTTTGTTGAGTACTTGGAGCGTTACTACTTCCTTATTTGTTTTGCTGTTTATATTCATACAGAAAGAGCAGCCCTTCGACCTAGTCCATCTAGTCAAGGCACTTTTGCAGACTGGATGAGAGCTAGGCCTGAACTTTATAGCATACTTCGTAGGTAAATATCCATGTATGAGAATTTTTTAACAACTTCAGTTATTTTTGAATTATATGTTTTGAACAGTCGCTTATTTTTGACTCTGCACACTATTATTTATTATTCTAAGTGTGACTTTGTAAATTTATTATGTCATGTTTAGCTTAGTTTTAATCAGGGAAAGGCAGAAAGCTTTTTTTATTTGACTGTATCTTATCCAGCCGTTAGAATAGTGAGATTGCTCAATGAAGGCACAACAGAACTCACAAACTTGGCTCTTGGATTCTACACAGTGATTAAAAAATTCCCTGGCCGACTCAGGACTCATCATAGTTAGCCCAGATCAGGATCCAAGTGATTCAAGGAAGAAAAACGCCAGGATCTCCCAAGTCTTCCCTTTTTTAGTGATTTTTTCTTTTAAAAAAATCTGTTACCATCTATTGAGGCGAGGAAAATTACATGCATCCAAAAAATAAGCATCCCACAGGCTGGGTGCTCTTTACAGAAAGTAAGGTTCGCAAAAAATGGGAGCTCTATACAAAAAACATAAACGTAAGGCAACCCACAGACAGATGACCTTGTACAAAATCAAGGAGAAGGTGAGAAGCTAAGAGCTAGGACTTCCTCGAGTCAGACCAAGGGACTTGGGGTTGGGACCCCAGCGAGTCCCTACCTGAGTCTGTCTTTTAATCACTGATACTACATGTTAGCCTGTTGATTGACCATTATCCCTCCTCTTTAGTTAATTAAGGTTTAATTTTGTGAGTGTTTATTAAATGCATCGCATTGTTATTGGCTGCCTATGTTGTACTCTATTTATTTCATATGACAGTATCCCAACTTTAATTACATACATGAAGGGATATGCACAATAGTTTTTTACTTTTTCACACATTCTTTGTTGCGTAATATGAAACCATATATTGAACTGAACCGTAGTAAAATTTCTTATAATATTTTGAGGGTTTAGCCAAATTTCTTATTTTATAGTTAATCTCCTATCTAACCAAAACATGCACCTAACCGTAATTTGTGAGGGTTCCTTGCACATTTAGTACTACATATCATTGAAACTGGTCCTTTTTATCATCAACGATCAGTTATTTGAGTGTTTATGGTATCTTAGCAGGGGTACTTCTCTGTGCACTTTGTCCTATCATTGTGAAATGTTAAGACTAAATTGCAGTCATCTAGTTTTTAATCTAGTCATGGTTCATTGTGGTATAAATTATGAGTTATATCTTTGTTGAAGTTATTTGTATTTGTTGGCTTTTCAGATTGCTTAGGAGGGATCCAATGGGCGCTTTGGGTTATGCAAGTGCAGAGCCATCTTTAATGAAAATCGCAGCATCTGTCGATGGTCGTCCACTTGACATGGATACTGTTGCAGCTATGAGGAATGGAGAAGTTCTTGGAAGGCAAACTGTTTTGAAAAGTGATCACTGTCCAGGTTGCCAAAGTGCAACTCTACCAGAAAGAGTGGATGGTGCGCCAAATTTCAGGGAAGTTCCTGGATTTCCTGTTTATGGTGTTGCCAACCCAGCCATTGATGGCATACATGCTGTTCTTCAAAGAATAGGAGGTTCTCAAGGGGGTCGCCCAGTTTTATGGCAAAATATGAGAGAAGAACCAGTTGTTTACATTAATGGAAAACCGTTTGTCCTTCGTGAGGTGGAAAGGCCATACAAAAATATGTTGGAGTACACGGTATGTTATAAACAATAAGTGTATTCACAATAGACCTTGTTGCAGTATTTTTGGTTCTTCATTGCACAGCTTGTTATGGTGTTTGTACTTTCTTTTTCTATGCTTTTCAGTTTTCAAGAGTTTGTTATAATAGTTTTTTATCTAGGTTACTATCTTTTGCAGTTTAGATGTATTTGGCCACTTTGCGCTGAGCAGAGTGTCACATAAATAATTGATACCCTAAAAAAACTCTCTACCTTGGCTTTGTTCATTACTGGATGGCAGGTTTTTTGTGTTTTTGTAAACTTCAATGATAAATAATTCATGTGTGATTTTTAATTTGGAGATAGATTTCAAAATTCTTCTAACTTAATGATCTCTTAAAACATGTGATTTCAGGGAATAGATTGTGAGAGAGTGGAAAAGATGGAAGCGCGCTTGAAAGAGGACATTTTAAGGGAGGCAGAACGCTATTCTGGTGCCATAATGGTCATTCATGAAACTAATGATGGCCAAATATTTGATGCTTGGGAACATGTAAATGCAGGAGGTGTTCAGACACCTTTGGAGGTCTATAGATGCTTGGAATCTGAGGGTTTCCCCTTGAAGTATGCTCGTATTCCTGTAACTGATGGTAAAGCTCCCCAAAGTTCTGATTTTGACTCGCTGGCCTTAAATATTGCCTCTGCTTCCAGTAATACTGCTTTTGTTTTCAACTGCCAGGTAGAACTTTTATTTCACGTTCTTCCTATGGTGCTTGATATGTTTCCAGTCATCTATTGTGCAATAACTATAGGGAAGTCAACTTTTTGTACCCGACCAAAAAATTGTATTTAAGATCCTATTCATCATGTTAAACTACAGATGGGAAGGGGACGAACAACAACAGGTACCGTAATAGCTTGCCTTGTCAAACTTCGAATTGATCATGGAAGACCCCTTACGTTGCAACATCTAGATATATCCACCGATGAGTTAGGAAGCGGCTTTTCAAGTAGTGATGAAGCAGGAACTGAAAGTGCAGAAGCTTCAACTGCACATTCAAGGGCCGAAGGTGGACAAGAGGCGCATCACACTTATGGAATTGATGATATCTTGTTATTGAGAAAAGTAACAAGGTTGTTTGATAATGGAGTTGAAAGTAGGGAGGCTCTGGATGCCATAATTGATAGATGTTCAGCAATGCAAAACATACGTGAAGCTGTTCTTCAGTACAGGAAGGTCTTTAATCAGCAACATGTAGAACCAAGGGTCAGGAGGCTTGCTTTAAATCGTGGTGCTGAGTATTTGGAGCGCTACTTTCGGTTGATTGCTTTCGCAGCATATCTTGGAAGTGAAGCATTTGATGGCTTCTGTGGACAAGGAGAAACTAGGGTCACATTTAAAACTTGGTTACATAGGAGGCCAGAGGTTAAAGAAATGAAATGGAGCATAAGGTTAAGACCTGGGAGATTTTTCACTGCCCGGGTATGTCCTTCCCCCCTCCCCCTCCCCCTCCCCCTCCCCCTCCCACCCCCCCCTACCCCCGCCCCCCCCCCCCCTTTTCTCTCTCACCCCCTCTCTCTCTCTATCTACACACACAGACACACATATACATATGTGCATGTGCACTTGCGCGCGAGTGTGCATATGTGTGTACTTCTGAACTTCCAAAAAGAAATTATTAGGGGAATTGCAAAAAATTGTTTTACATTAGAATTTGTAGAAATTGCTGGGCTTTATGAATTCAAAAGTGCTTTCCTAATGTGTTTATAAATTACACCAGGAGTCAAAGATGCCATCTGAGTCTTATCATGGTGATGCAGTTATGGAAGCTATTGTAAAAGCTCGAAATGGTTCTGTTTTAGGAAAGCGTTCAATTTTGAAGATGTATTTCTTCCCTGGTCAGATAACTTCCAGCTTTTTTCATGTCCCTGGCGCACCACATGTTTACAAGGTTTGACTACTGCTATGGCCTAAGTGCTTCATATGCTTTGTGATATTTGCTGCAAAAGAGGACAGCACAGTTCTCTTGTCCTTTTCTTGTTTCTCCTATATATTAAAGATAATTTCCAGTACTAGTTGGCTCATTGCTAGATCATTTCATAACTAGTGCATATTTATGTGTCGGAAGAATAACAAAATATGTGAAATTGTTTGCCTGTTGAATGGGTTCTACGTAAGACACTCATACAGATGGAAAGTTTCAAGACAATCTCTTACAGCTACCCTGGTGAGCGATATCCGTATATGATGACTAGCTTATTAGTTACGTGTCTACTCTTTTGATTTAAAAGGTTGGTTTAGATATGATAGTATCATGAGTGAAGTTGCACATCTGATGGAAGTGGGATGCAACATGAACTAAAACATATGCTGTAACATGATGCATAATTTCAGCAATCCTGTGCTGTAAGGGTCTGCAAGACATTTCTGATGCCCTTGTATATTTATTTTAGTTGTTTTGTGTTCATCTTTATGCTCAACTTGTCATTTTACTTTTGTAATTGCAAGCAGAGTTTGTCTTGCAGACTGTATCAGTTGAATTGGTGATTGATTGTTGGTTGTCTTTTATGAATGTTGTCGGAATCAATAGAAAGCATCTTATGATCAAGTCTCCTGACCACTGTTTGCCATTCATATTTCTCCATTTCCATGAGCACACGAAGAATTTAGAGGCAGGTGGCTGAAGCGATCAAATATAAATTGAGAAACGAGGACCAAATCTAGCATACAAAGTGTGGAATATTTTCTTATTCCATGAATTGTTACTTGAAATATGACTTATTTAAAAGTTTACATAGCAGATCCATTATTCAAATGTGCACCCCTTGTCATTCAGCTCCAACTTTTGTTGTATTATTATGATTTTCATCACCAGCCGTGTTATCTTATTCTATATTCAGGTCGATGGCTACCTTGTCTATAGCATGGCAACCCCAACGGTCGATGGGGCGAAAGAAATGCTTATGCATTTGCATGCTATACCTGTTGGAGTAGATACCATTGCTCAGAAAGTGATCTTGACTGATCTGAGAGAGGAAGCAGTTGTTTACATTAAAGGCACTCCCTTTGTCTTAAGAGAGTTGGATCAACCAGTAGATACGCTCAAGCATGTTGGAATCACTGGGCCAGCGGTGTGTTCTTGAAGGCCTCACTCTTCGGTTGATTTATTTGTTGGTTCATCTAGCATGTAATGTAATCCATTCCCTGCTTTGTGAATTTCTCTCCACAGGTTGAGCACATGGAAGCTCGTTTAAAAGAAGATATCCTTGCTGAAGTAACACAATCTGTTGGTAAAATGCTTTTGCATCGGGAAGAATTCAATCCAGTGTCAAATGAATCCAACATCATCGGTTACTGGGAGAACATTTCAGTCGATGATGTGAAGACTCCTGCTGAAGTATATACTGCTTTGAGAAATGAAGGCTATAATATTGATTATAGAAGGATACCACTAACTAGAGAGAGAGAAGCATTAGCTACAGATATTGATGCAATTCAGTTTCGCAAGAATAAGTATGTTGTCCTGGGCCTCTCATGTTTATCCATTAGTTCCATATTCTGCGCTTTGGTGCTTATGTTAAATTCCCACTCTTTTCTTCAGCTCTGCAGAGCACTACCTGTTTGTCTCACACACAGGATTTGGAGGAGTTGCTTATGCAATGGGTATTACTTGTCTGAGACTTAATGCTGAAGCAGAAATGACATTGAATAACACATCAGCACTGCCTAGTCCAGCACATAATCAATCAATAACATACGACGACGTCTCCATCTCTTCGGTTCCAGATGAAGAAGAAGCATTTAAACAGGGAGAGTACAGGGACATATTGAGTCTTATTAGAGTTCTAATCTATGGTCCCAAGTGCAAAGAGGAAGTTGATACAGTTATTGATAGGTATGTATTAGCTGTTGATTGTACTTCTATTGCATTAATAATGCTTTTTGCTTGTTTTGAAGATGGCATTCTTCGTATCTTTTTTAATTAATTTAGTGTGGAATGTTACTTTAACTTCAGCAATAGATCTGTTGATGCTCATTGAGGAATAAAGTGCATGCATGCTGTATGATATCAATAGTTTATGTAATAGTTTCCAATAGACTTGCACATCGCCCAAAATTTTGTTATTTTTGCTTAAGACTAGAGTTTCAATAAAGTGGAGGTAAGCTTATGATGCTCTATGTTGCAAGCTTACAAGTCTACATTTTATAGTTGGTAGTACTCAAGTTTTGCTAAGGTGAATCATATATATCCTACCTATTTCTTCCAACTCTTTATATATTACATTTTTCCAAGAATTAAGGTATCATTCTGTGTATCCATCCTGAAAACTTTCCTCAATTAACAGGTGTGCAGGTGCTGGACACCTCCGCAATGATATTCTTTACTACAAGAAGAAACTAGAGAAATCTGCCCACCTTGATGAAGAGAGTCGGTCATATCTTATGGATATGGGCATTAAAGCTTTAAGGTTGTCTCTTTTCTGTGTTCCATGAAACTAGTTTCTGAATTGATGCAGCATTTCCTTCAAATGAGCTTTTTTCTCTTGCTCCTTGATTTCCATCAGATTTCATGCAAATTTCAATTGAGCATAGAGAGATAGAAGATGAGAAAAGTTAATGGAGCAGAGTGTTAGTTCTTCTTTGGTAACCCTGAAATGATTAATGGAGAACCGCCTCTTTCCCCATTTACTCCCACTGCCACTCCCGCAGAAGTTCCTTTGGCTCGCCACAGGCGAAGCTAGGGATTGTGTAGGCTTCAATGTTTTCTAAGTATCTATACTGGATTACACTATAAGGATCCAAAGATTGATGTGCTGAAACAACATCTGAAACCCAAATAAAAAATTGAGTTAAATGATATTTTACATATGATGTGACTCCCAATCAGTTTTCCGAATTGTTTTTTCTATACAACATCCAGTATGAAGAACATTGAACAAAATATTGTGCTTTTTTTGTGTAGAAAATATTTTCCTTTTTTCAACTGATTGACAACGTCATTTTCATTGAAGATTTTGAACTCTAGAATGTCTGAAAAACAAAGCCACGAGAAGCTTCAGCACTAGAGTTTACAAATCTTACCTTAGAACTTGAAGTATAGAACCATCAACAGTGACATCTGAGTGTTACCATTAATAGGTTTAGTGGCAAAACAAATAACCACGGTAAGACCTGTCATGTTGATGGTAGCTCTGGCATTTTATTGGCTGAGGGCTACCGATGCCATCATTGCTTAACGTACTATAGATGTTGACTGTAGAAAGTGCCTCAAGCGTTTAAATCTGAAACTGTAAAGTTTGAGATTATTAGGAACAATTATGTGAATATTGGAATATTGCAGATCTATTTAGGTGATCTCTGGATTTAAAATCTGAGAGATGTATGTATTCTGACACAAACTGAGGCTCTCAATTTTATCAAGGAATTAGTAAATTTCATTGGAAGTAATAGATGCTTGATACCCATTTGATGGATAGGGTTTTGTTCTGTCATTGATACTATTTATGGGTTGCTTCCATAGTTAGCAAGTCGGGGAATATCAATATATCGGTTCACCATAAAATCGGAAATAAATCGTTTTTATTTTAAAAAGTCGGATGATAAAATCTGGTAAAAAATACGGATCGGCAAAAATACTTTTATGTAAAAATGTTGCAAATATAGCGGACTAGGCTCAAAAAATTGGAGTGAAAATTATGGATAAGTTTAAAAAAGGGGCACCATATTTATGCTTACTATACTAACACTATAGTCATTAAACTAGCTATTCTAACTATGCACCATACTAACTATACACCATTACTAACTATACACCATACTAAAATATCAATATGCGCCGTACCATATTTACACCAAACTTTTAGAGAGAGAAGATGAGAGGGGGGTGACCATTTCCTTTGACAGAGAGAGAGAGGTGGCATAGGAGAAAGAAATGCAGAGGGAGAGAGAGAGGTGGATGCAGAGAAAAAAATAAGAGAGAGAGAGAGCGGGGGTATGGGGTGACCACGGATATCTCAAAGGAACACAGAAGAGCAAACAGGGTGAACTTCTTATGAATCAGAATGGTGTTGTCTTTTTCAAGCAGGTGGTGAACTTCTTGTGAAGAAAATCAGATGGGAATCGTGCTGTATTTTTTAATCTGATGGGTTGAATCAGGTTTAGGGAAAAGCCCTTAGTATGTTTTTCCTTAGTTTATATTTCCTAATATGTTATTTGAGCTATGTTAATTTGGGGATTTTTGAGTTATGTTAAAATTGGGGATTTGTGATGTGATTTGGAAGTTCTCTATCAGATTGTTCCTCTATTTTTCCTAATCTAGTTTTCCCTAATTTCTTTGAAATGTTGTTAAATTTAGGGATTTTTAAAAGCTAATGTTAAATCTATACTTCAATATAAACAGTGGTTCTCTTTCTCTAAAGCTTGCATTATAAACAGTGGTTCTCTTTTTCCTCTCTCTCTATATCTATCGATCTCCATACCCATCAAGCATTTGTGATGCAGTTCAATTTGGGGATTTTTGAAACTTATCTCTGTTTTTTCGTAATTTCTTTGAGATGGTTATCTTTCTCTCTGTGTACCCATCGATGAGATGTTCTCTATCACATGGTTCTCTCTGTGTGTACCATGGAGGATTATTAATAGAAACGTTTTTTTGAAACGACTTCTTATAAAAATTAAAAAATCGCGTATTAAACTTTTTCATGAAAAAAAGCTATTTTTTGACGCTCTTTTGAAAAATACGCAGTTTAAAACGTTTTTTTAAAAAACTCCGATTTTTTTTAAAAAAACATGTTTAAAATGCCGATTTGCTAATTATGGTTGCTACTGACTGGTACTTGTATGGACATCATAGTTATTGTTGTATGGACATACATTTATTGTATTCATAAATGAGATGTTTTTTTTCTTTTCTGCTGAGTTATTTTAGTCATTTTACACCATTGTTGATATGCATTAAGTCTTCATGAGTTTTCTTTCTCCTCTAATAATAGTTCTATTAACTAATTTCCTAAGTAGATGAAATTATGATTCCACCCTTTCAAGAAGATGAATTTAAGTTTTGCACATTTTGAGATAAACACAAGTTTAGGGAATGTCATACTCAATAGTATTTATGTTTGACCATGGTCTGGTACGGCCTGACTGGTCAAGTTTCACACTCTGACATGAAAATTTTCTGTATATGCAAACATGACCCTATTAATAACAAATTTTCCCTATGACACTTATGCTGTTTATTGGCATAAACCTACCATACTTACAAGAACATATATCCAAACCACACTTAAGAGTGCTGAAACTGATGATATGTATTCATCATATGGAAAAATGTTCACAATTGTGTGGCCAACAGTTTGTCCTGCACTCATGCGTTTTTGTATCTTGGAAAATTTCTCATGTATTGTTTGGTGTGGTTGCAGGCGATACTTTTACTTAATTACATTCAGGTCCTACCTCTACAGTACGTTAAGTGGGAATACAAACACGAATGATGCTGGATTTGCTGCTTGGATGGAGGCCAGGCCTGAGCTCGGCCACCTCTGTGATAACCTAAGGCTTGATAAATGATACGGTTCTTTTGTATGCATGTAAGAGGTCTTAAGAGAGGTAAAGCTGCATTAATTCTTGTACATTTGAACCATACAGTAATATAGAAAAAACTTTCTCAAGTATTATCATTGTATTCTCTGTGAAGACCCTATGCCCATATTTTTTCCCCCCTTGTTCTAAGGTTACCAACATACTTCTCATGTAAAGGGAACTAAGCTCTTATTCCTATGCAGTGCCAGAGTTTGTAGATTGTATCTGCCTTTCTTTCCTAGATCATAGTGGCAAAGTATCTCATACCAATCCTATAATACATAGGTCTGTTTATGGTATATGACACCCAGTCGGTTGCAGAGATTGACCTTGGTTCCATGTGACACATTCTCCAAGGTACTATTATTCTATATTGTCTCTCGTTGAGAGGATAGTACATGCCTTGGCGGTGTGCCATGTACCATACACAAGCTAATATAGCATACTTTCCCAGAAATTGTCACTTAATGTAAAGTTACATGTGTATTATATACTTCAAATGTCAATGATTTTTTTTTTTTGGGCTGTAACTTGTTAACATTATCAGAACTTACAATCCTGACTAACAGTGAAGCTTTTCTATAGCCCTTCATTTATCCAGAGTAGAAAGGACTACTTAGAACCATAGTTGTTGGGAGCGAGAGCAGGAGCGGGGGCATTGTCCTCTGCCTGAAGTTCCCTACCTCGTAAGAACCTGGGAGCATTTAATATAGTACATTATGATTACTGTCTACTACATATTAATACTACATGTTATATGTACATTACAAAATAGGCTGACAATAAAATGTTTAATGTTATAATTGATTTATTTTGTATTACACATGCATACACAATGGAAATTCCATAGTAAGATAGCCCAACAAAAAAAAGTAATTGAGATTGTAAAGCCATGACAAGAAGGGATCTTGAAATCTATCATTAAACCGCAGTATCTTTCACACGCAGTTATTTTGTATGTTCGAGGGGAGGAACTCCATAAACGAAAACAGATTTACATTACTACGAACATCTGATAATTCGATTACATTTTATGATATAATAATCATGACACATCATATCCCTATTTCTCTTCCTGGCTGAGCAGCCTGTACTCTCCATGACACGGTGAACAACAGACCTGCTTTGGGTCGAGGCGGGCATAACTGGCCAGGGGAAGGGGTGTAGAAGGAACGTGATCATACATGTGCATTTACACATCATATATCATATATGTGTATTTCCACTAATTACATATAATCTGAAAACAAGGCCGCAACAGTGCGAACAAACATTACAGGCTGACAGATCTTGAACGGGAATAACATGGCCATGGTCGCGTTCCTTCTACAAGTGGGTACAAGATCCTCAAACTTAGGGATCTTGAACCCATGATACTGGGATTTAGATTTCCAGTATTGGAGAAAGGAGACCAACCTTGCTCAAAGAAGCTCCTTATATCTCCTGACATGACCCAGTGCTATTAAGTCTTCCACAGAATCCATTCCCAGATACTTGCAACCACTGGGCTTCGCAAAAAAAGATGTGAACCAGTCTTAGCATCCCGGATGCATGCTTTAGTTATCACGACTCCTCTATTCCACAGCTGCTCAATAGTGAGAACTTTGTCTAGGCTTGGCCTTAACCCTTTGTGGTGCCTTGCATGTCGAAACTTGACTAGACCGAGGGTTACGGGGAATAATTTGTCCTCTATAAGGCAGTGATAAAGGGATTTCATAGTAAAGCTGCCCCTTGCCTCCAACTCCCACACCACTCGCTCACCTCTGATAAGGTAGTACAGAATATGCGTGAGACTAGCAAACTGTTGCTCCGTGGCATATTTAACACTTCTAACATCCAATATTAGGTTCCACAGTACCTGATTAACTTGGCCTGTAACCACATCCTTAATATTGCTAGCCTTTTGTGTGGACCTTCTGTAGACTTCGGGGAACTGTATCTTTAGGGTGCAATTTCCTATCCACTTAGAAGACCAAAAAGCTGCATGGGCCCCATCGCGCCACCAGGATTCTGCTATAGGCCAGGAATGAAGTCCTCTTGGAATCAATACCCTTCCATACAGTCAAAGCCGAGAGTCCTCGCACCAGCTTCTTTGGTACCAAATGATTTTTACCCAGCCATACTCAACACTGATAACCTGTTGCCACAGTCGTATAGATGAATTAGTTATCCTCCACCACCATTTCTTCAAGAGAACTTCATTGACATCTTTCATCTTTGAGTTTACGGATGCCTAAGCCTCCCCCATACTTGGGCAGGCAAACTATCTGCCATTTAACCAAATGGAATTTTTACTTCTCGTGTCCCACTCCACAAGAAGTTACTCATCATACTTTCTAGTAGCTTTAAAAGGTATTGTGGAGCTCTATACAATGAGAAATAGTACACTGGTATATTTGACATCGTCACTTTACTCGAAGTTATATGTCCAGGAGAGTCATCTACATTTCCATCCATCCAACTTGTGCTGAAATATCTGAATGATTGGATCATGTGTTGCTCTTTTGCAATCTACCATCTTCAAGTGGAATTCCCATATACTTGTAGGCAAGCTTTCCACCTGGCATTCCATCTGGTCCGCCCAATGTCGGACTTCTACTTCTAAGCAATTAATTCCCATCATGGTAGTCTTGTGCATATTAATTTTAACTCCTGAAATCACCTCATAACATTTTAAGAACAACCAAAGATGTTGAATTTGCATCATCTTTCTTTTTGTTGCAAGTAAAGTGTCATATGCATATTGTAGGTGGGTAATGAATGGGTCATTATTAGCGATAGATAAACCTTTGATGATCTCTCACTTCACCACACTAGTTAAAACCGTACTGAAGGATTTAGCCACTAGAGTATTAAAGGAAAGCTGACAAAGGATGGCCCTGTCTGAGGCCTCTCAACGCCTTGAAATAACCACAAGCTTTACCATACAGAGATTTACCTGGCTCCAAATCCCCCTAACTCCATCATTTTAAGGATAGTCCCACTCAACCCTGTCATGTGGCTTGAGGAACACTCCTTGTCTTCCTCCACTCCTGGTAGAGTGAATTAGCTCTTGTGCTATTAAGTACCATCCATAATGTGTGTTACCTTGATGAAAGCAGTTTGAGGACATTGAATCACTTCTTTTGTCATATTTTGCTTCTTGGGTACCCAACGTAATGAATGTGGAATTTAAGGCTTTGGGAATTACACCATCATAAAAAAAAACTGCTCAAATAGAGTCATGAAGTAACCTTTTATTACATCCCTGAATTCTTGAAAGAAGGCCATTAGAAAACCATCTAGCCTCAGTGCTTTATCTCTCATAAGGCTAAAAACAGCCTCCTCAATGTTCATCATTGTAAAAGCTTTCTCTAAATCCTTGGCACTTCCATGATACATGAGATTGGGCTCCCAATCCTTCACAGTAGAGGATCATGACTCCCATTTCATAGAGGTTTCAAGGCCTCTCTCACGTATCACTGGCTCGAGGTTTTGGAGCAGGACTTCCGACTATGCACGACACTCCCTATCGCGATACTTGGAGCATGTAACTGTGTTCTTTCCAGTTTGTATGTTATGTGAATTGTATTAAATAACCACTTGATGAACAGCGATGTTTAAAAATGAGGCTCGGGTGCCCGAACATGGTACCAGCCTGATCCGAGTCAACCGAGTTAGACCAACTGACTAAGTTCTTATTAAAAATACAAAGCAAAAAACCAAAAAGAGATTAAAAACTGGCAAAAAAAGAGAAATAGCACATTAGATCAAGTATTTGAATTAAACATTCATTTCATTTAACATCAAAACAAAAACTCTAAGGAAAAAAAAAAAAGGAAAGCGTGAAAAAATTTGTTGAAATATACAAAAAATCAAAAATCAAAATCGCTTAAACTTTCTCGTAACAAGTTTCAAGCCCTAGTAAAGGAGGTGGGTTGTGTTAGGCCCAGCGCAAAACGTTACCGTTACCGTATTTTATCATGAATCTAGAACCTATGTTATTACTGAGGGTATGACTAGTGATAGACTAGAGAATAGAGGAATATGATTTATGTAGTTGACTTCAAATAATTAGGATAAAGTTTGGATGATGATGATTCAAGAAAATGATTAGGGTTGAAAAAACCACTAAAATTTGAAAAGTGAATTTCTCACATTTTGGTTTTTGACACGACAAATTCATGTAGGGGTTTGATAAGGCCTTAAATATGGATCATTTGAAACAAATTTCAAAGTTTTGTTTTTAGGAATCAAGTGAGAAATTGGACGAAAGGCGGATAGGAATTTTAGGGTTGAATAATCATGATATTTTGATGAGAAAGCCTCTTCCCAATCTCAAATTGATTCAAATAATCTATTTTTGGATAAAAAAGAGATCTTCAACGATTGTTGGAGATTATCAATCCAAAGAAAAATACAATGGAGGCCTAAAATGAATTCTGGGGGCTTAAATGACCTAGCCTCAATGACCTCTATTTCAAGTTATGTGCCTAATAGGGGTAGGATCGTGTTCACCCCTTAACCACAACTTAACCGTGTGGATAGAAAGATAGAAAATAATGCAGAAGATAAATAGATAGATAGTAAATAGATATAGATATTGGATGAATAGAAATGGAAAAATAAACAATAAGGTTATTTATTATAGTTAATAATATAATTATAATGGGAATGGAGTTGAGGTTTTGGTGGTAGCATCACTTGAGCTTTAGCTACCAGTCTAGGTTTCCACTAATTATTTCTAAAAACAGGTAGGGGCTTGTATTCCCCACAGATCTACCCAAAAAATAATAATTATAATAATGAAATGCATATTATAAATTTAAAATAAAAAGAATTCTATTTAAATATTATGAATTATACTCATATAAATGTAATTATATAGTAATAATAATAAGTGATGAATAAGATAATAGATATATAATTTTACTGATGAAATTTTTATAATATTAATTAATTTATTTCATGAGTAGTTTGTACAGTTACAGTTGAAATAATTATAATCACAATTGTATCCTTTGTACATCACTTGATTTCTTTTATTCCTATACTAATTTTTAGTTAGTTATTTTAAAATATAGCACAATAAGTGTCATATAGATCTTAAAAACTAAGCGATATAACCAAGATTTTCTATTTTCTACCTAATTTTAACTCTACTTATGGTAGGATTTTGAAATTTTAGAGTCTGATGATGGACCATAAAAATCACGATTTAGAAAAAATTAAATAATTTTTAAATAATATTTTTGGAAATCTTTTTTTTTCCTATATCATTCATTTTATTCTTCACAAATCATCTATGCTAAGCTATTCTTGTACTATTTCATAAACTTTTCTTACCCTCCACACCAATCCCAAGTTTTGATCCATTTCATATGCAACATTTATTAACTCTATTTTCAATAATTTAGGATGTGTTTTACATCCTAAATCCGTGAATGTCTTAAATGGACACTTGAGTTTGAGTTCAGTGGCTCAATGTAGGCCTTTCCCTTTAGATATGGAGGCGATTTAAATAAGGAGTCAAATCTTAAACAACAAAAGGAAGAACTTGCAGGAAAATCCATTGCAGTATTGAAAATTGAAAATCTATTTACACTCTTAATTATGAAATTTAAAATTTGAAAAGTGGTTGAAATGATGTAAACCATTGAAAAATTTGAAAATTAAAATTCCACATAATATATTATACCATCTGTTTATTTTTAAGAATTTAAATCTTTTTTCTTTTCATATTCATATATCTCAAAAAGGAGACAAATCAATTCAAGTGTTTTCCGATGCTAGAACAACTTATTCTTATTTATTTTTTTAAGATGTTGTGTACTTGATAGCACAAAGTCAATGCCTCGTACGAACTTTTTTCCTTTCTACTTTACATTCAGGATTTTTTTTTTCAGTTTTTTTCTTTTTTACCATACTGCCGCAGACCTAATATATCTCCTTACCAATGTCTATATTGCTAGCTTGGAACTGTTAGTTCCAAACCAATATTTTTTGGAAAAATTTATAAAAGGGTGAGGCTCTAAACAATCAAATTAAAGTACACCTCAAAAATTCACTTGAAGAGGTCGTTTCGATGCCCAAGAATCCTCAATCGATCATCTCGACCTCAAGATGTATGGACATGGATTTCAAGTATAGGAAATAGTACATCTTGTAATGTATTTTCTGAACCGTCAATTTTTAAGATTTTCAAATATTTTTAGATCGGCTCGATCTACACTATTTTTGAAGCTTTAAATTATATGATTGAGATGAAAATAAATTTACAGGCCATCACAAAGACTTCTAGTACTAAAACAACTACTTTTGGCACTATTTGAAGGTGTGCCTTACTTTGATTATTTAGGGCCTCCGGCCTCAGCCTTATACAAACCACACTCCATATTTTACGTACAAAACACCAATTTTGAACTTAGTACTTGCAAACTGTTGAATTTATCACCGGTTTGAACTAAATAATTATGAAGTGGTGATAAAAACACCTGTTCAAGGGTGACAAAACAACCCTTACCAGTTCTAAACCGGGGCATTTTAGACAAAAAGAAGTCAAAGAATACATGAATATAAAATACAAAATATCAGAGACATTTTTTTAATTAATGCATAAATTTCTCTATAATTAATAAGCATGTTACTTTTGTCAAAAAATCAAAATAGAAGTTGCGGACAATTTGATGACAAGAATGAATAGGGTAAGAATTTGTGATCGGCACTGGAAGTTTCCTCAAAGACAAACCAATGTTTTGGGGTTAGATTGTAAATCTTTTTTTGGCTTCAGTCTCTATAAGGCCGAGGCTTTATGATAACAATGTCAAACCTCACCTTGAGAATTCTCGTCCAAAAAGCCCTTTGGCCATCATATATCTCTGTGATGACGCTCTAAAATCAATTTTCAACACCAACTATAAAATTTGAAGCTCAAAAAATGATACAGAGTAGATATGTAAACACTTAGTTTCAATTCGATTTGGACAGTCTAGATAATGTATCACAACACACTATTGACAATGTATCACAATACACTATTTTAAGGCTTGAACTCCCTCTCTCTTTCACAACCATAACAATCAATGCTGGAATGCTCAATTTAAAGGCTTACCAATACTAAAACTACAATTTTTGGTGAGTTTTGAGCAAAAGCTTTACTTATTTTGATAGGACTGCAGCCCTAACAAAATATTTTTCATCTTTTTCATGCTTTAGAAGTTGAATAAATATGACCGGAAAGTTTTATTAAGGGTCCGTCAACTAAATCTTGTCAGTAACATGTTCTGCACATTCAAGCAGACAATTTGCTCGCACATAGCGCTCCTGCAAATTTTAAGAAGGTAAGACGTCTTTTGATTCTACAAATTTTAAGACGCAAAGGCATGTTTGATTGGCAGAAGAAGCGGCTGCCAAAACCTGCCTCGTCCACTATCTTCGGAAGCAGTGGTGCTTCTATAGGATGGCATGGCAGCTGTGGGTTCCCCATTTTAGAGCATTTTAAAACAGTATAAACAAACATGGGAAGTGCTATGGCATCTCGAAGCCGTGGCCAAAAGATTCTGAAAGAAGTGGGAAGCATGTGTGACACATGAGTGTATGAGGGATAGTGAAATCAGACCTTCCTAAAATTTAAACATAAAAAGTGGGAACCCATTTTATTGTAGGCATAATCATGTATTGTACTGTACATACTTCACGAACAAAACATCTTCAGGATCAACATTGGCCAATCCAGATCTCTTAGAACACAGCATATACTTTCAAATATCATCTGATTATCCAGGTAGAAAATGAAATAAAAAACAAAAGAAAAAGAGCTCTCTCTCTCTCTCTCTCTCTCTCACATCAACAAACCCTCTGCCCAGGAACCTTCTCTTCTCCAATTATCCATCTTGTCAATCTGCTGGGGTCTCCAGCCAAAGATCTACAGGTAGCAGAAATGCCAAGGTCCATCCCAATAAGTTCATATTCTTGGAAGGCAGCCTCCATCTCCTCTTCGACACTCATACTATCCCCACTCTCTACCACCATCATGTCCAGAGCATCCGAGTAGTGTTTCTCTCTCTCTGGATTGTTTTGGAAGGGCTCTGAAGCTGGTCCCTGTGTATTCACAAGTATTTGGATAAGCAATTAGTTGGCCAGCCAAGAACAATGAAATACTTGTCTTTTGACAAAATTCATTAATACTCCATCTTTTGACAAAATTCCTTAAGACCAGTGTAAAAACGCACAAATGAGAGAGAGAGAGAGAGAGAGAGTAGTTTGTTACTTTT